GTGCAGGGGCCCAACGACTTGGGCCATCTACTGCTTTCTCAGGCCATAGCAGAGAGCTGGATCAGAAGTGGAGCAGCCAGGTGCCCATATGGAATGCCGGTGCCTCAGGCCAGGGCATTAACCTGCTGCTCCACTACTGGCCCTGAATCCAGCTTCATTTGTTAAAATCCAGGGAAGAAAGCAAGTCAGGAATTTTAACTCCATTTACTGGAATGAGTGGAACCTTTGGTAACTTTATCTACACAGAAGACATTTTTTCATCTGGCTCCAGAACTACCACTGCTCTTCTACCTCTCCCTCCCTCTATCCCTCCCCCTCCCCTTATCCTTTCCCCTCCTTTTTCTCCTTCCCCCACCCCCTCCCCTTTCCTCCTTCCTTCAACTTATTTATTTGGGAGGCAGAGTTACAGAAGGAGAGAGGGAGAGACACACACACACACACACAAGATCTTCCATCTGCTGGTTTACTCCTCAAATGACCGCAATGGCCAAGGCTGAGCCAGGCCAAAGCCAGGAGCTGGGAGCTTCATCTGGGTCTCCCACATGGGTGCAGAGCCCAAGCACATGGCTTTCTGCTGCTGCTTTTCCCAGGTTATTAGCAGGTAGCTGGATTGGAAAAGGAGCAGTTGGGACTAGAACTGGCGCCTATATGGGATGCCAGCGCTGCAGGTGGAGGATTAACCTACTGTGCTGTGGTGCTGGCCCCTCCAGAAGTCTTCTTATTTTTGGCTCTTTGCCATTTGAAGTTGCTTTTTGTATGCTGATTGGCTGCTCTTTCGCCCCCTGGAATTTTTATTTTTTATTTATCTGAATTTTTATGTGTTTGAAAAGCAGAAAGAGAGGGATCAGATGACACCAATATGGAATTTGAGGGTCCCAAGTGAGTCTTAACTGCTGTGCCACAGTGTCCACCCCTCCATGGAGTTTTTGATAGCTGGGTGCTAACTTACTTGAAGTTACGAAACCCAGTTTACTGGAACAGTGTTTTAAGGGTAAGTGCTTTTTGATTCATTCCTGGGTCCTCCATGCTTGACTGGAGGTTCGCTCTCTGCCTTCTCTAATCACATAGTGACTGTAGCTGTTGCCTGCTAAACCTAGACACCTAGGGTGTTGTGTCTGTCATGCAGTAGGTGCTCAGTAAACACTCTTTGAATGAATAAATGAAAAGCGTGTAAGTGAAACTTGATAAGATTTTAAATATTTATCATGGTGCCTTGCTCATCAGTTTGCGACTTTGTCATCAGATTTAATCTGTCTTGGGCACAGATACATGCCTGTGATTGTGGTTGGGTTTGATGGTATATGCGTATGATAGTGTGTGTATATGATAGTATGTGTGTGTGTGATAGTATCAGGAAGCTTTCAAGAAAAAAAGCAAATGTTCTTCTGTAGGTCCTGCAGATTTTTTTAAATTATTATTTATTTGATAGGTAGAGTTATAGAGAGAAAGGTCTTCCTTCCATTGGTTCACCCCCCAAATGGCTGCTATGGCTGGACCTATGCTGATCCGAAGCCAGGACCCAGGAGCTTCCTCCTGGTCTCCCATGCAGGTGCAGGGGCCCAAGCACTTGGGCCATCCTCCACTGCCTTCCTGGGCCACAGCAGAGAGCTGAACTGGAAGAGGAGCAACCAGGACTAGAACCGATGCCCATATGGGATACCGGTGCCGCAGGCGGAGGATTAACCAAGTGAGCCGTGGTGCCGGCCCCGATCCTGCAGATTTAACTCTCATCTGGAAATTGTTTAGTCTAGAACAAACTAGTATCTTGCAAAACACCCCCTTTTTTTTCCTTTAAAAGAAAATAGTAGAGAAACGAATGGTTGTAAGGAGCTATAATGCAATGAGGGTAGAATGTTACACCTGTATTAACCATCAGGTAGAAAGTGTTTTCCCAGTGGAGTTGTTTAGTCAGCAAATATTTCTCTAATAATATTGTATCAGATTATGGCCTTAAGGCTACCCCTAAAGATCACTTTTGAAGCTATTTTCTTTTTTTTTAAATTTTTTTTATTTGACAGGTAGAGTTATAGACAGAGAGAGAGAGAGAGAGAGAGAGAGAGAGAAAGGTCTTCCTTCCGTTGGTTCACCCCCCAAATGGCTGCTATGGCCGGCACTGTGCCAATCCAAAGCCAGGAGCCAGGTGCTTCCTCCTGGTCTCCCATGAGGGTGCAGAGGCCCAAGCACTCGGTCCATCCTCCACTGCCTTGCTGGGCCACAGCAGAGAGCTGGACTGGAAAAGGAGCAGCCGGGACTAGAACCCGGTGCCCATATGGGATGCCGGTGCTACAGGTGGAGGATTAACCAAGTGAGCCATGGCGCCAGCCCCTTGAAGCTATTTTCTTAAAGAAAACGTATTCCTATCACATTTTGTAGTATTGTGAGATTTTTATTTCTTGCTTATAAATTGATACAACTGAGGGGCAAATTTAAATACTAATAACCAGGCATATGCCCCCACATCTTCCCAGTATATTGTTACTGTTTTGTCTAGAATTTTCTTTCTTTGTCACCCTTGTGCAAGGGCCGTGCTTATCTACTGTAGTATTCCAGTTTTAGTGTGTGAGCTGCTGAAATGAGCGCCAGAATTTTCTTTTACAAAGAGCGCTTAGAAAATATTAGAGAATGTCAGGCACAGTATAAGTAAAAATATGAGGAAGTTACTCATGGACCAGCACAATTTTAAAAGTAGAATTTGGGGGAAAAGGGATTAAAATAATACTGCACATTTTTAGCCGGTAACAGCAGCTGCTCTGAGCCTTGGCCTGGAGTTGGTGCACGGAGCGGTCTTGCCATTGAGCAATGTCTGCTGCCCTCCAGCGTCTGCTTTGTGCACATTCCCGAGCCTGCCTGGGAAACGTGTATCAGGTGTGTGAAGCCTTTGTCCTTTAATCTGTGCACTAGAGGTAAAAGTTAAAGCTCTTAGAGATTTGTTTACTTGGCTGAAATCTGAGCAACTAATTTGCCTTCAGGTCACCACTGTTAGGTGTGCATTATATAACTTTTTCCATTTATCCTGCTTGGTCGATGGCAGGCTGGAAGACAAGCATAAACGGTGACATCTCATTCTTCTTTGTACATTTGCCAAGTGAAAAGTACTTTTAAAAAGTTTTATTTATTTATTTTTGGATTTATTTTAAAAGGCAGAAGACATGCATGCGCACCAGAGAGAGAGAGAGAGAGAGAGAGAGAGAGAGATTGTCTATTCGCTGGTTCAATCCCCATATGCTTTCAATAGCCAGGCAGAACTCCATTCAAGTCTCTAATGTAGGTGGTCAGGACCCAACTACTTGAGCCATCACTGCTGCTTAACAGGAAGCTGGACCAGAAGCAAAGCTGGGTCTTGAACACAGGCATTTTGATATGGCATGTGGGTGCCCAAGTGGCAGCTTAATTGCTGTATCACAATACTGTCTCATACTTGTATTTTTTTTGGCAAAGATGGGACAAGAGGATTTAAGTTTCTCTGCTTTGATGAAATTACAGTAGCATTAAAGAGTGATTGTGAGATTTAAAATATGTTTTGGAATCTTTGCCAACAAGATGGCACAATCCTATTTCTCCTTGCTTTTCCCTGCTAAGTATAAGTATACATCTTGGAAATGCAAGAAACAACTAAAGGAGAACTCTGAGACGTGATAAGAAGGTGAACTGGTCAGGGGCCCCAGGGTTGGAGGAAGAATGTAGTGGCCAGGTATCTTATGTCCTCCTCCTCAACTGAAGAAAGTGACCATACCCAGTGAATCCTGACCCACCAGCTAGGCTCATATCTCCCCAGGATAGACTGGTTGCCCGTCCAACATCACCAGGAAAGCCTAGCACCCAACAAGGGGGATTGATAGGAATAAGGCCACTAAAAATAAGTGGCCTGGGAAAGCACTGTCCCCTACTGCTTGGCTGCCCAAGACTTCCCTCCTCTGCTCAGTGATCCCCAGGTGTTCAGGGGACCACATGCAAGAGGATTCTGCCAGTGCAACCAACAGCCAGGCCTGAGGTCTCTTGTCTTCCTGAGTCCCAGAGTCTTCTCTCCTGCCCAGATTCTCTGGGGTGCACCAGCAGGTGGGACAGCACTGCACCAGACACCCTGGCCTGGGAAGCCTCCACCCTCACAGTAGCCAAAACAAATTGATAAATATTTTTGGATCTCATGAAAATTCTCAGACTTTTGCTCTGTGAAAGCCCTTGTGAAGATTATGAAAAGACCAGTTACAGACTGGGAGAAAATATTTGCTAATCCCAAATCTCACAAAGGACCAGTGTCGAATATAAACAGAACTCTCAAAACTCAACTTAGAAAAATATACAAGTTGAAAAAATATACAATGTGGTTTTACCAAACAGAGCACAGTTTAGTTGCTCTGCATCCTTCAACTCTTCTTACTTTCTATTCGTTAGACAGTGACCATACTAAATGGGTGTGAGTTTCATTTTTCTGGTGATTAGTGATGTTGAGTATCTTTTCACATGTTTGTTGCCATTTGTCTTATCAACAATAGACACGGAGAAATTTCTATTGAAATCCTTTGCCTGTTTTAAAAAATGTTACTTAATCTTTTGTTATTGGCTTACAGGAGTTCTTTGTATGTTCTAGACATTGTTCTATATCTGATACATGATTTTCAAATATTTTCTCCCTTTCTATAGTTTGCCTTTTCTCTGTTTGTATCCCTTGATGCACAATGTTTTCAAGTTTGGAGACAGGCATTTGGCCCAGGGGTTAAATTGCCACCTAGTACACCCGCATCCCATGTTAAAGTACCTGGGTTTGAGCACTGGCTCCTCTCTCCATTCCAGCTTCTTGCTAATGTGCGCCCTGGGAGGCAGCAGGGGATGGCTCAGTACTTGGGTCCATGCTACCCACATGGGAGACAAGGATTGAGTTCCCAGCTCTTGACTTTGGCCTGACCTGATTCCATCTGTTGTGGGCATTTGGGGAGTAAACCAATGGGTGAGAGATCTCTCTCTATCTTTCAAATAAATAATTTTTTTTTTTTTTTTGACAGGCAGAGTGGACAGAGAGACAGAGAGAAAGGTCTTCTTTTTCCTTTGGTTCACCCCCAGTGACCGCTGTGGCAGGTGCACCGCGCTGATCTGAAGCCAGGAGCCAGGTGCTTCTCTTGGTCTCCCATGTGGGTGCAGGGCCTAAGGACTTGGGCCATCCTCCACTGCACTCCTGGGCCACAGCAGAGAGCTGGACTGGAAGAGGAGCAACCGGGACTAGCACCCAGCTGGGACTAGAACCTGGTATGCTGGCGCTGTAGGCAGAGGATTAGCCTATTGAGCTGTGGCGCTGGCCTGTTTTTACAGTTTTTAAGATTGCTGTGGTACCATTTGTCTGTTTCTGCTTTTGTTATCTATGCTTTTGATGCCACATCCAAATTATCAGTGCTACATTCACTGTCATGAAGCTTTTCAATGGTGTTTTCTTCTAGGAGTTTTATAGTTTGGGATCTTACGTTGACATATTTCATCCATTTGGAGTTAAATTTTTTTTCTTTTTTCTTTAGTAAATATAAATTTTCAAAGTACAGTTAATGGATTACAATGGCTCCCCCCCATAATTTCCCTCCCACTCACACCCCTCCCATCTCCCGCTTCTTCTCCCATTCCATTCACATCAAGATTCATTTTCAATTATCTTTATATACAGAAGATCAATTCAGTATGTATTAAGGAAAGATTTCATCAGTTTGCACCCACACAGAAACACAAAGTGTAAAATACTGTTTCAGTACTAGTTATAGCATTACTTCACATTGGACAACACACTAAGGACAGATCCCACATGAGAAGTAAGTACACAGTGACTCCTGTTGTTGACTTAGCAATTTGACACTCTTTTTTATGGAGTCAGTAATTCGGATCTGCACAGGTACTTGAGCCATCACTGCCGCTTCCTAGGCTGTGCATTAGTCGAGAGCCAGACCAGAAGCAGAGGAGCTGGGACTTTGCATCTTAGTTGCTACACCAAGAGCTGTGCGCTCTTAACCATTCCTGGGCTACTCTTGCGACTCGAAACCCCTGTGAGTAGTGGGTCGTCATTCCAGCCCTCACCCAGGAGCTGGAGTTAATTTTTTGTATGTGATGTAAGATAATGGTTCAGCCTCATTCTTCTGCGTATGGGAATCCGGTTTTCTCAGCACTGTTTGTTGAGGAGACCTTCTTTTCCCCATTGAGTGGTCTTGATATCCCTGTCAAAGATCATGTAACCATGTTCTGGTTTTCTGTTCCACCAGTCTATGTATCTGTCTTCATGACAATACCACACTGTTTTGATTACTGTAGCTATGTTTTGAAATCAGGAAGTATGAATCCTCCAACTTAGTTATTCTTTTTCAAAACTTCCTGTCTGGGATCTCGGTGTTTTTTCAAATGTGCCCATAAATACATCTCAGTGGGCATGCAAATTTATATATGTTAGCACATTTGTTTATTCATAGATTTTAACAAAAATAATCTCTAAGAAACATGGTATACTGCAACTTGCCTTTTAAAAGTCCACATTCAATCACAGCTATTCTTTAATGTCAGTATCTCAGTCCTTTTGAGGTCTCTATAAAGCATTCTAGAGTATGAATATACTATTAACTTTTTAGCTAACCTCCTATTAATGGTAATTAGCTTGTCTCTTGACAATTATCAATAAACATGTGTTTTCTTGATATATAGAGATTTTAGATTCTTATATAGTCAACTGTACAAATTAAAGTCTGTGATTTGGCATAATATTTTTAAAAATCTGAGACTGAGTGACAAAGAGAGAGAGACACACACACACACACACACACACAGTGTTCTGACTGGTTCACTCTCCAAATGCCCAAAATGGCCAGAGCCAGGAGCTAGGAATTCAATCTAGATCTCTCATTTGGTGGAGAAACCCAGTTACTTGAACCATTACTGCTGCCTCCTGAGGTCTGCATTGGCAGGAAGCTGGAGTCAGGAGTTGGAAGCCAGGTATTAAACCCTGACTCTCTGATATGGAACACAGGTATCTTAACTGCTAGGCTAAATGTTCCTTCCTAACTTCCTAGGCTAAATGTTCCTTCTACTTGAGAGGTAGAGAGTGAGAGCAATCTCCCATTTGCTAGTTCACTCCCCAAATACGTGCAGCTGGTGGGACTGAAGGTTGGAAGTGAAGCCAGGAGCTTTAAACTCAATCCAGGTCTTCCCTGTGGGTGGCAGGAGTGCTACCTGGTATAATGTTTAGACAATCATAATATAATATATATATAATATAATAATAAATATATTATACAAATTGTTACCTTCTAGTGGTTTTAAGCTTTAATTTTTTACTTAGAATTATTTAGGTATAAGGTATGAGGTGGGGTTATAGCTTTGTCATTTTTCCAAATGGGAGCCAGTTGTCTTAATGCTGGTTTTAATGTTCCCCTACTTTTTCAACAATTGTGTTCTACATTTTAAATTTTTTTCTTTTGACAGGCAGAGTGGACAGTGAGAGAGAGAGACAGAGAGAAAGGTCTTCCTTTGCCGTTGGTTCACCCTCCAATGGCTGCTGCGGCCGATGCGCTGCGGCTGGCGCACCGCGCTGATCCGAAGGCAGGAGCCAGGTGCTTCTCCTGGTCTCCCGTGGGGTGCAGAGCCCAAGTACTTGGGCCATCCTCCACTGCACTCCCTGGCCACAGCAGAGAGCAGGCCTGGAAGAGGGGCAACCGGGACAGAATCCGGCGCCCCGACTGGGACTAGAACCCGGTGTGCCGGCGCCGCAAGGCGGAGGATTAGCCTTCTGAGCTGCGGCGCCGGCGTATGTTTTAATTTTTAAAATTTTTTTTAAAATAGACTTGGCTTTGGCTTTTCTTGATATCCAAATCTTTTTTTTTTTTTTTTTTTAAAGATTCATTTATTTATTTGGAAGGGCACAGTAACAGAGAGGCAGAGGGAGAGAGAAAGAGGTCTGCCATCCGCTGGTTTACTCCCCAATTGGACAATGGCCAGAGCTGGGCCAATCTGAAGCCAGGAGCCAGGAGCTTCTTCCTGGTCTCCCACGTGGGTGCAGGGGCCAAGTACTTGGGCCATCTTCCACTGCTTTCCCAGGCCCTAACAGAGAGCTGGATCAGAAGTGGAGCAGCTGAGACTTGAACTGGTGCCCATAAGGGATGCCGGCACTGCAGGTGGTGGCTTCACCTACTATGCCACAGCGCCAGACCCTACATTTTTATTTTTGATTTTGAGCTAGGCTGGTCTGGGTTTGGCCGTGTCTCTGTCTGTATCCACTAGCTTTCTGACCTGGGGCAAGTTGCTCCACTTCCCTTTGCCCGGTTTCTTCATCTGTGTCTGCTTTGCAGGTTGTCATGAGGATTCATTGAGACACTTGGAGTCCACTTAGTATAGGCTGGCTGGCACTTCCTCTGCTGCTGTTAGTACTAGTGGCATTACTAGGGTTGGTTTCTGGACTTTCTTTGTTGAGTTCCACCCAGGAGAACCAGTGTTGCTCAGTTTTAAGCAAAAAGCGATTCATATTGTGACAGAACCCATACAGAGAGGTTATTCTGATGAACACTGATCCAAAGTATCTATAGAGTTACTTCCTTGCATTCACTTTGAGTGGGGTGTGTGTGTGTGTGTCTTTTGCTTACTTTGGATATAATTTTAGGCTGGTTTTTCTCATCTTGTTCCCATATAATATCTTCATTGGGAACATGGTATTTGTCAACAGATGTCTTCTCACTTGCAAAATGCTCTGATTTGTGTCTTAGATGTTCCTGTGACTCTCTACAAACCATCTTTTGATGAAAGATCCCAGTTAACACTAAGTAGTCCCATACCTGTGAGAATGTATTGTGTAATAACGTGTTTATTATGGGGTTTAGTATAATCAGCCCAGTGAAACCATTTTTAACTTGTCTTTATTGCACCCTGCTACAGATTGAGGGTGATATGAAACAATGGGAACAAATGATTCCTGTACTCAAGGAGTTGATGGTCTAGTTGGGAAAATAAAATGTAATGTTAAAATCCGAGGGGACAAAATCAGGCAATATAAATTTCATAGCTGCACAGAACACATAAAAGTGAGCAAACTCATGAAAGAAAAGACCATCTCTTCAGTAAACAGCAAGTATCTACTTGTTTCCCCGTGTCAGAATCCTCCATGTAAAGATTAGCTGTTGAAGCCATAACATTCTGTGTGCAGCTAGAAATAATGACTTAAGGAATAGAAAGTAGCATTTCCCAAGACAGAGGAGCAATTATACAAAATAATGATATAGGTCTTACAGGAAACATTTTCATAACTTTATTACTAGTCCTCAGAGTTTTCTCATCATGAACACTCTCAAAATTACCTATAAAGTGTAAAAGTATTTTTAATTGATGCGTTGGTCACTGTTACTATTATTATTGATGTATTATTAAGAAGATATAAAGAAATAGTCAAAATAGGAAACAGATAATTGCTTAATTATGATTTAAGGGTACTTCCCCTGTTGTTGCTTTGTGGTATCTCTGGGAAATACCCCATGGTTCCCCCACTGTACCTCTGACTATTAACTTGCAGCTAATTCCCTAAATTTGAATTTGAGTTCATATGGGAAGATGAGATCATTGATCTTTGTGGTCAAACCTATGGAAGTCTTGATTTCTTCCTTCAAGGAATGGGTTAATTGAAATGTCCTGTCTCTCAAAACTTGCACCTCCTGAATATAAATTGTCTGGTGACTCCTCACAGCTATCCCAAGACAGTACTATAGTAAGATAGGAATTAACAGGATTCAGCAACTGGGAAAACAAATTTGAAATTGGCTACATAAATGAACATTTTCTTTGATATGTGGAGTTGAATGTTGTGAGGTCAATAGGAGCCATTAATATCAGATCATCATACTTTTTCCTACACAAGGAATGCAATGGTCTTAAATTACTTCCATACAGTCACACTGTTTCTAGTCAGTGCTTTATGTTTATTCAGTAGGTGCTCAATCAATGCATGCTCTATGTTGAATACTGTGCTTGGGTGCCTTACAGGAAGCTTACAGAAGGATCGAAATTTAATGTCTTTCCCGCTGCTCAATCCTGGCCATAGCCCTTGCCACTGCCTGAAGCTGTTTGGTCTGTGCAGGTAATCTTCCTGCTTGTGATCAGTTGCAGGTTTCACCTGTGGGGGAGGTGACAAGGTGTGCCCCCACATGATTGACACTGGGTAAACATGCAGGGTAAGTTACAACAGGGGAAGTGAGGTGAAGGATACTTGGTCTCTCCTGGTTTTAGACTATAATCTGCATATCACTTTCCAAATATTAACTCAGCTCTCAACAGGCATAAGAAGTTGAAGTTGTTTGCCACTAGCCAGGAAAATGAGAAGGATTGTTGAATGTCTCCCAGCATATTAAGTACTGGGAAGAAAAACAGACATAGGACTTTGGGTTCTATTTTTGCTCAAAGTAGAGACAGGAAGCTTTATTCATTTAACAATGTATAAAGTGATTTAAAAAATTTAGAACTACCCTTCTTGGTGAAAGAAAGAAAAAAGGAAAGGAGGAGGCAAGAAAGGAGGGAGAGAGGAAAGAAGGGAGGGGAGAGATGAGGGTGTTAGTCTGTTGTGAGGATTAAGGATAATGTATGTGGGGCCAGCTCTGTGGCACAGTGGGTTAAGCCACTGCTTGCAACACAGGCATCCCATCTCAGAGCTCCCTGCTAATGTGCCTGGGAAAGCAGCAGAAGATGGCTCAAGTACTTGGGCACCAGGTGGGTAGGGGTGTGGGGTGGCAGTGGGGGTGTGTCGGGGGGTAAGAGTCCTGGCTCCCGGCTTCAGCTTGGCTCAGCCCTGGCTGTTGTGGCCATCTGGGGAGAGAACCAGTGCATGGAAGGTCTCTTTCTCGCCAGCTCTCCCTCTCTCTGTGTCACTCTGCCTTTCAAATAAATAAATATTTTTTTTTGAAAAAAGCATAATGTATATGAAACCCAGCACTCTGGTTCCCTCCCTATGACATATATTAATAGTATGTGCCATGGTGATGGTCACAGAAAATGCATGTTTCAGGAAGATTTGACTAAGGGCATGTCTAATTAAGGCACATTATTATGACGTCACTATTCATCATGAATATCCAGCCACTTGATTTTACTGACATCTCTGGGATACTCAAGAATTACAGGCCGGTGCCGCGGCTCACTAGGCTAATCCTCCACCTAGCGGCGCCGGCACACCGGGTTCTAGTCCCGGTCGGGGCGCCGGATTCTGTCCCGGTTGCCCCTCTTCCAGGCCAGCTCTCTGCTGTGGCCAGGGAGTGCAGTGGAGGATGGCCCAGGTGCTTGGGCCCTGCACCCCATGGGAGACCAGGAGGAAGCACCTGGCTCCTGCCATCGGATCAGCGCGGTGCGCTGGCCGCAGCAGCCATTGGAGGGTGAACCAACGGAATGAAGACCTTTCTGTCTCTCTCACTGTCCACTCTGCCTGTCAAAAAAAAAAAAAAAAAAAAAAGAATTACAGTCTCCTGGCCGTGTAGTCCTAGGATGTACCATGTCACAAGCCTTTGTTCAGTCTGTTCTGGGGCTACTGTTTAGACTATAGACCTCCCACACATGTACATGACCCTTTGTCTCTGTCCCTAACAGCATTTGTATCAGAGGTCATGTTTTAGTTATCTTTTGTTGCCTTACTACTTCAAAGCTTAGTAATTTGAAACAACTGTTGTCTTATCGCTCATGATTTTGTGGGTTGAATTGGTTCAGCTGGGTGGTTTTTATGATGTTGCCTGGGGCTGCAGTCACCTGTGGGCTTGCATGGTCTGGAAACTTCATGGCTGCTCTCACTTGGCTGACAGTTGATGTTAGCCACCACCTGGGAGCCAGCTGGGCTATCAGCAGGAGTGGTCACACATGGCCTCTCCATGCCCGTGTGCCTCAGGCTTCTAGCAACATGATGGCTGAGTTATGACAGGGCAAATCCCAAGAGTGAGCCTCCCAAGAGAAGAAAAGCAGAAACTGCCAATTCTCCCAAAGGCTGGGCTCACTTCTGTTGTATTCTATGAGTCCAGATAGTCACAAGCCAGCTCACATTCAAGGGATGAGGGTATTGACTCAGGTCTTTTTTCTTTCTTAAATCTTTATTTATTTTCATTTTTAATTCACAAGTCCGGGAGACAGACAGGCAGAGATCTTCTATCCACTGGTTTGCTCCTTAGCCACCTCAAATATCCAGGGATGGGCCAGAAACGAAGAGCCTGGAACTCAATCTAGGTTTCTCAAGTGGGTGACAGGGACATAAGTATTTAAGCTATCATCTGCTGCCTCTATGGTGCACATTAGCAGGAAGCTAGAATTGGAAGTAAAACCAAGACAGGCATGATGATACGGGATGCAGCCATACCAAGCTGTGCCAAATGCCTGCCCCTGACTCAACCCATTATGGGAGAATAGCATGGACATATAGGGAGGGAAGGAGTTGGTGAATGGCCATTTTTCTGTTGGGTAAATATCACATTCCTTTAAATTTTGCCTTAACTTTGTCCAAGTCTTTTAAACGGATACTCGCAAACCCAAGGTTCATGCCCCAAAAGTAGTTCTGGAAAAGGTGATGAGACATCATTGCCCTGAACAGTAGAATCTGGACTGGACTGATTAGTCTCTCTCTCCCTCCCTCCCTCCCTCCCTCCCTTCCTTCCTTTTCAAAGGCAGAGTTACCCAGAGGCAGAGAGAGAGAGAGAGAGAGAGAGAGAGAGGTCTTCCATCTACTGGTTCACTTCCCAAATGGCTTCAATAACCAGAGCTGCACCGATCTGGAGCCAGGAGCTTCTTCTGGGTCTCCCACATGGGTACAGGGGCCCAAGGCCATTTTCCACAGCTTTCCCAGGTCATAGCAGAGAGCTACCGGCATCATGTGGGATGCCAGCACTGCAGGTGGTGGCTTTACCCGCTGTGCCACAGCACCAGCCCCTGGACTGATTAGTCTTAGATATAGTTATGTGGAAGTGGAACAACACTTGTGTTAGTACATAGTCTTGATAATATCTTAGCTCTTATGAAAGTCAATGACTGTCCAGTTCAGTAAGAGAAGACTTCAGTTTCTGTGATTATAGTGGTTCCCACCTGAAGGTGATTTTATTCCTTGGTGGGTGTTTGGCAATGTAAGGAAACAATTTTGTGTGGGGGCGGTGCTACAGGCATCTAGTGGGTGAAGACTAGAGATGAAGCTAAACATCAAATGCTGCACAGGAGAGCCTTTTCTTACAACAAAGCATTCTAGCTATCTTCCATCCATTGATTGATTCCCCAAATGCCAGCAACAGCCGTGGCTGAGCCAGGCCAAAGCCAGGGGCCAGGAGTTATATCCAGGTCTCCCACATGTGTGCAGGGGCCCAAACACTTGGGCATCTTCTCTTACTTTCCCAGGTGCATTAGCAGGGAACTGGCTCAGAAATAGAACAGATGGGGACTGCCATTGTGGCACAGCAGGTAAAGCCACTACCTGTGATGCCAGCATCCTTTATGGGTGCCAGTTCATATCTCAGTTGCTCCACTTCTGATCCAACTCCCTGCTAATGGACTGGGAAAATCAGTGGAGGATGGCACAAGTGCTACTGGCTCCTGGCTTCGGCCTGGCCCAGTGCTGGCCGTTGTGGCCATTGGGGAATGAACCAATGGATGGGAAGATCTCTCTCTCTCTCTCTCTCTCTCTCTCTCTCTCTCTCTCTCTCTCCCCCTGTCTGTAACTCTGACTTTCAAATAAAGGAAAAAAAAGGAAGAAAAGAAAAGAAAAAGAAAAGTAGAGCAGCTGGGACTTGAACCAGTGCCCGTATGGGGTGTCAGCATCTCAGGCAGCAGCTGGTCCCTATCTTTACTTCTGATTAAAGTAGTTTATATACAGAATTAGATTGAGGTATCTAGTAGGGCACGTATTCCATCCTCTTCTTCCCACCTCAAACTCTAAAATATTTATCAAGAAAAAAACTGGTATCTCTGTCTATATCTATAGATACCTACATATGGCTCTTTCTATAGCTATATATGTATGTCTATTTCTACATTTCTGTTCTTATCTGTTATCTATATTCTGGAAAAGAACAAAGAGTGATCACTGTGGACCAGAAATTTTGAATATCATTGAAAGGCTATGTCAGTCAGGAAAGGCTAACTTCAGCTTTTGGTAATAAACCAGCCTCCAATTCTAAGTGGTTTAAAGCTAATTTGTTTCTTACTTGTGCTACAAGGTCATGCTGGGCCACCATCCCAAATGTTACCACTGCCATGTAGAAGGAAAAAGGGAACTGGAGGGCCTTGTGTTGGCAGGTCAAAGTCTGCCCTGGAAGTGGCAAGCATCAATCAGTGCTCCTAATCGCAACTGCTTGCCCAGAAAGATTTGCCAGGGTTCATTTCCACAAAGGAGCTGGGACTACCATCCTGTCAGTGGCCTGGAGAGGGGAGAATCGAAGATATCTGAGACTCCCTCAGAGGTCAGGGTAGATGGGAGTTGATGAAAGGAAGAAGCCAAGGGCCAGCGCTGTGGTGTGGTGGGTAAAGCCAACTCTGGCATTCCATATGGGCACCCGTATGGGTTCAAATCCTAGCTGCTGCACTTCTGTTCCAGCTCTCTCCTATCGCTCTGGAAAGCAGTGGAAATCCTTGGGCCCCTGCCACCCATGTGAGAGACCCAGATGAAGCTCCTGGCTCCTGGCTTCAGCCTGGCCCAGCCCAATCAGTGGATGGAAGCGCTCTCTCTCTCTCTCTCTGTCTCTCCCACTCCCTGTGTAACTTTGCCTTATGAATGAATGAATGAATGAATGAATCTAAATCTAAAAAGGAAGGAGAGAAAGAAAGAAGCCACAGGCCAAAGTTGTCTCAGGCAGGACTGCTGCAGAAGGCAGGAGTGGGTTCTGAAGACCTAGGGAGTAAGAGAGGACTCTTAAGAGGAACGTGTAAGGAGATTGAGACCGATGCATCCTAGAGATGTGAGAATTACAAGGCGTGCTCTATTTAACATTCAGGGAGTTCTTAACATTTACTGAATAGTTAATGTATCATGGAAATCCTGTGTCTTCCTTACGAAGTTCTGAGTTAAAAATCATTGTGCCTAGTACAGTGTCTGGTCCATAGGATGTGCTTGGCAAATCCTTACTGATGGCTGTAAACTTACCATAGGAGAAAAACAATTGCTGTTTTAAAAATCACTATGATTATCTTGTTATGCTCTCCTGTAGGTAAGATTGGTTTGGGATACAAATCAGAGTCCTAACCCCTTGTGAGAGCACTTGAAGGAATTTCTCCTGCCCAACAGGTGGCCAGGATCCCAATGAAAGGCATGTCCATCTGGAGGATTTAGAGCCTTCCCTCCTTTGTCTTAAAGCTGAGTTTGTAGTTTTCCTTGTGTTCTCCTTGATCCACGACCATACATGTTCTTCTCATCCTCCCAGCTCCGTGGAAGGACATCCGTGTTCCTCCAGGCCCAGCTTTCCTGCCGGTGACCTCTGTCTGCACTGCATCTCTGGAGTCATTCTCCTTAGGGGTTGTGTCAGCAATCAAACCATGTGGGATCAGATCTGCTATCTACTGGCCCTGTGACTTGGGGCCAAGGGACTTTATCTTTTGTGACCTCAGTTCTCATTTCTAAAATTTGAATGACACTAGGTACTATATCACAAAACACAAGGTTGCTTGGAAAGTGCTTAAAAAGTTCTCAGAATAGGGGCTGACAAGGTGGCATTGTAGACACACAAAGATACATACACACACACAAAGAGAGACAGAGACTGAGAGAAAGTCCTCCATCTGCT